AAGTGCCAAGGTAGCACTGTGTGTTTGAATTTCCTGCTTTACTGAAGTATTACCTTCATCAGAAACAGATGGACTGAATCACGTCAAAGTCTACCTAGGCGGAAGCATTGTTTTAATTTACCCAGGTCACGGCAAATATATTGTCATTCAGCATGTGAAACTGTTTGAACTTACAAGGAGTAACCCAGCAACAGCAATTACCCCACGTGTCCGTTGTGCTCTGATGATACAAACGCAACTGGAATGGAGTCTCGTAATTTCACAAGGTGACAAAAAATTGAATTCTGATGTTTCACCTCTACCTGTGAATGAGCTGGGAGGCGCTGAGAGGCCAGCTGAATACACAAATTCCTTGGGCCTGTGGGCACTGTACAGAGGCCGGCTGCACCAGGGCAAGTTTGCCCTCCTCTCAACCTCAGGCCGGCAGCCAATGCAGAGCAGCCTCACCGTGGGCTTTTGTCTGCTGAGAGCACACCCCCTGCATTTCTTATCAGATTTACTGTGACAAGTACCCAGAGAAAAGCAAGATGCTGGTAAAAGCTCATCAATTCAGACCCCATTATTCAGAAATTTGGATTTATTTTTTTGTCACGGAGAACCAGAACTGATGTGAATCTTGGCACTATCCTTGAAAAAAAAATCATTCACAATAACACAACAATAATATATAACATCTACTGAGTTCTGACTCTGAACGAGGTACTGTCTGGAGCGCTCTTCATGGATGTCTCATTTAATCTTCAAAGCAGCCCTGTGAGGAAGGTCTTATTATTCTCTCCATTTTGCAGGTGATTACTTTGAGGCACAGAGAGGTCAAGGCCTGTCCAAGGTCACACAGCTAATGAACGGGAGAGCCTGGATTCAAAACCCCAGCAGTCTGATTGATTGATGCCAGAGCCATATTCTCAATCATGCTTTGAAAGGCAACTCCCATTCCCAGTCCAGTCAAGAATTCAAATTGTTTCTACAGACCTGAAAATCATTTTAACAGTACCCATTTCTGTTAAAAAAAAAAAAAATACAGTGACCCAATCGATGATTCTTATCCATTCATTAAGTCAAAGTTGCTCGTTGACCATACTGTTAGCCCTTATTTTATGCATGTGAAATGAATAAAACTTCATTTTGCTCAAAAAGACCCTTGGATTCACACTTTCTATTCTTTTAGATGGGCTTTCTTATTATTATTCAAGGTCACTGAGGTTTTTCTCAAAGACCTCGGAGACTAAACTAATCACAGCTGCCTTTGAGGGGATCACCAGGGATGGGATATTTCAAAGCGCCATCTAGATTGGCAATCAGGGAACAGCCAGTGTCATCAGCTGCCGACTCACAGGGCAGCTCAGCAATGGGGCTAAGAGCTCTTGACTCCCACTTCTGTTGATAGGCACAGTTGGTAGCCTCTGGGGGTTGGCTGGAACCCAGTAGCTGGAGAGATTCTTTGAGCTGGAGATAACCAACAAGGAGCTGATGGAGAATACAGGAAAGAGCAGAGGAATTTGGGGTCCTATATTTGGCGCAGACAAGAGCTGTTCCTGTAATAAAATGTCTCTGGGCCTGTGTTTCAGGGCAGGTGCGGAGGAAGGAAGATGGCTCTCTCACCGTCTCCGGGAACAGATGGCCGGGCCTTCCCTGCAAGCAGCCGGCTTGCCAGCTGATGCTACAACATACTGGCTCTAAAACCCTGGCAGGGCAGGCTGAGGCTACCTGGATTTTTAAAAACCAAATTCCCCACTCCCCAACTATGTGAAAAGGCAGAAAATTGCATTGTCCTCTACAAAAATCACAACCACAAAACCCCCAAACCACACACAAATTAACAAACAAAAACACTCTGAACCAAAAACCTTTCAGAAAACGGGGATGGGAGAGAATTTGCCCACAAACTGTGAAAGGTTTCCCTTAAACCATTTTACTTTGGCAGAAAAGAGGAACGTCTAGATTCTCAGAACCATATGGTATTGGGGATCATCTAGTTTGGGGTCTAGTGTTGCCAAATATTTTTCTAGAGAACATAAATAGTCATGTTTTCATGTGGAATCTCGTGATTTTGAGAAGTTGGTTCAATTTAAAAAACTTTAAAAGCCATGAAGACCAAACAAAGCCCACCCAAGTACCTCATTTGGTTCTCAGGGCTTTGGTTTGCAACCTTTGAAGAGCCCTGGCCTCTTGCAGAGATGGGGAAACTGAGATCGGGAGAGATGAAGAGGTTGTTACATTGGAGAACAGCAGATGGCTTGCCAGCATTAGGTCTGTAGCAGATACTATCAGCACCCCACCAGTGCCCCTCCCTTTTTCCCAATTCAGTTGGCTCCCTCTATCCCTCAACAGCCAGCGTCTGCAGAGCTGTGCCTGAGGATATTTTCAAAACTGTGAAAAGTGGCTTTCTCTGTGGAAGCTGGAAGCACTGAGGAAGTAATATCCCCTGGAAGCAGCTCACAGGAAGTGACTATGGGGGTTGGTGTATAAATACCCCAGCTCCCTCACCCTTTAGGTGGGATAATTCTGAGCCACATGATCTATGCCCTTCCTCAGAGCTTCCCCAGAAGATTGAGACCCAGTTACCCACTGTGGTACCTGGATTGGTAATGTACCTGTTATTGGCTGCCCTCTCTTCCCTGTCTCACTGCTTCATGTCCTTCCAAGTATTTCCTTCATTTCCCAAATAAACTAATTGCACTTGATGCTGTGTAAGGGTGTGCCTCAGGGAGAACCAGAACTAAGCACAGGTCTGAATAGCTGTGATGTTTATGAAGAAGGGAGCCCTTATCTCTGGGTTGACTTCTGATGCAAACATTATAATCATGCGTGTGAAATATTTGTCCATATCAGTGTCAGGTATCACATGCCCAGTGTGTGAACTCTGGACCTGATTAAGGGTGCCTATTCATTTCATGGAGGTAAGTGGGGAGAAACAGTAGAGACTGTTTACACCTCTCCATAGCCTGGGGAAAAGCTGCCCTGGAAGAAGACATGCTGGTTCAACTGTACTCAGAAAAAGAGAATGTGCTGGCCCTGCTCAGCACAAGTAATTACTGGGACCATGTTTCTGAATATCATCTAAACACAAAGTAATGAGGATGCCGTTTCTATTTAATAATGCTTTTATTAAAAGCAAAGTTCAATTCAGTGATGTGAAAAAGCAGGAGAAATTATCTTTTCGTTTCTTTTCTCCTTTTCCCTCCTTTCCTTTGTTCCTCTCCTACCCTGTCCCCACAGGAAGGACAGGCACTAGCCACTCTGGCACCAGCACCAGCTGGATGACAACACAGTGCTGGGGCCACCATTTAACTCATTCTTGGCCAGTGAGAATGCTGCAATGGAAAGTCTAATTGTGCATTTTCTCACGAATCATTGTAACTTAAGGAAGTACTGATAAAACTTATTTGGGGGGAGTCTTAACCTTTGCCGTGTCATTGAGCCCCTTTGGCATCTGATAAAGCCTATAGATCTTGTCTTAGAATAATAGTCTTAAACACATGAAATAAAATACAGAGAATCACAAAAGAAACTAATGATGTTGAAATACATTAATAAAAAAAAAGCCAGATATGTGATAAATGAACATTTACTAATGCATTAAATATTATCTACTGGCAGGTCTAATAACTACTATAATTTCCATGTAGTGCTGAGCATATTTCAAGATACCTGCAACTACTATAATGTGATATAAAAATATCCATGATTTCTCTTTGTAATAAACTCATACATACCACTAACACAACCATGGACATGGTAAATTGCAGTCAGAGGTTAGTGCAAATAAATATGTGATTTTTTCCCCATCCGAATTGACAAAAGTCCACTCACCCAATATTAACCCGCACTAGATGGAAGGCATGAGGTAGAGAAAGCCATTCCTTTGCAGCCTTCTAGTTTCTAGGGAACATGGCAGGTCTTTGTGGGAAATTGCTCAATTGTCCCTTCAGTCACATTTTTGACAGCCATTTTTTGAACACCTACTGTGTTCCAGGCATTTTATTTACTTAAAAAAACCTATATAGGCTTTCTGGTACCATGAGGTGGTTAATCACACTCCTCAGTTCATAGCACATAATAAACCCTGGTCCACGTAGAGCCCTGCTTGTGTTTTATTTCCTCTCCCACCCCCTACCCCACCTCGGTCATCTCCAATCCTCGCCTTCATGCCCTCTCCCATACAAGCATCCCCTCTGTGTCCTTGGTATGTGTCCCGATTTATGCAGGCATCCATGTCAAATAGGCAAAGCTTTTTGTGAGTGGAATTTTAGTTTCCATCATTAGCATCATGTTACAAATATCATTCATTTTCTTACCTTTTTTTTCACTCAATGCATTATCATAAAGAACTATTGCCATTGTTGTATATCCGTTTTGTGTGTTGCTTTTTACTGTTGCATGGTATTTCATAAGGTGTATCCGCCTTATTTTCCTTATCCATTTCTTTAAGGATGGACACTCAGGTTGTGCCCAACTTTCCTCCAGGTTGTCACCAACTAGCTCATTGAACATCTGCACAAAGATGTCCTTATAAACCTGTGGTTGAGTCAGTTCCTCTAAGCTCTATTCCTGGGATGTGGGAGGTCACTAGATCATAGGGCATGTACCAATTAAATTTCACTGAGCCAAACCAGATTGCTTTTATAAAACTTGTACTCGTTACACACCCCACAGCCATGCATGAGTACTTCCCCCCGCACATCTTCATCAACACTTAGTATGTTCGCCTTTTTAATTTTGGCCATTTTTTTGGTTATAAAGGGTCAAGCACTTTACACACCATAGCAGATGCTTTGGGGCCCCAGGTTGCATCTTGGAGCAACTGTAATATCCACCACAGTGGTGAAGGACTCATCTGTGTGAGTTCAGAGTCATGTTAAAATAGCATTTCATCTGAAGCATGCAGCAAACATTTTTCCATCTTGCTCTCTCTCAAGTCCCTTTGTCAAGGCTTGGGAACCTGCTCAACCTAAAAGCTGAGGCCCAGAAATGTGGGTAAGATAACTCTGCTGGGGGAACATCCAAGTCAACTAATGGAGAATTAAAAATCCCAGCCTCCTGTGTTTCTGGCAAACAATTAGAGAAGGAATTCAATTTCTCAGAAAACCTGGTGAAATCAAGCCCCCATTGCCTACATCAAAGACTTCAGTAATCCATTTTTATCATGATTTCACTTCTTTCCCATTTCTCTCTCTTAGCTCCTTGAGCTTACTCCCCCCGCACCCAAGTAAACTACCCACAACCAAGTCCTCTGCTTTTTAGGGTACCCAATCTGAGACATATATATTGTTCCTATCTCCACAACAACTCTGTGAAGTAAGTGGTCTTCCCACTTTAAATAAGAGAAAATAGGCTCAGAAAGAGTAAGTGACTCACCCAAGGTGACACAGCTGATAACTGACTGAGCTGGGATTCAAGCCCATGACCATCAATCATTCTTTCATTCAGGTATGTTTTGCCATTGTGATGTGTGCTTTGAAGGATGCCAGAGAAGATTGGGTCTCAGCACCTGAAGAATAATCTCACTGGGGAAACTAACAATGTACATTAAGTAGTCAAAGATGAGTATCATTCTTTGTTCATTTATTCATTCATTCAACAATGATTTGCTGAATGTTTAGAGTTCTCAATATTAGGGATATAGTAGTAAACAAACACAATGATTACCTTCATGAAGCTTATATTCTGGCAGGGGGTATAGAGAAATAATATAAATGATAACTGCAGTTAATTAGCTGTGCATTCTTCCAATTACTTCCCATCAGTCTGGATTACATTTGGCTGCCTAGAACAAAACCAGACTCCAGGGGCTCAAGCACAAAAGGCTTTATTTTGCTTCTGTAAATAAGAAGTCTTGAAATAGGCAGCCAGGTCTGATGCATTTGTTCAGAGAATTCAGGAATATAGACGCTTTTTACTTCTGGTTCTGCCAACCTCACATGGCCAGATAGTGGCTGCTCCACCACCCAACTTTGTGAGCATGTCCTAGGCAAAATAATGGAATAAGAGTTAAGCAAAAGAG